GGGCAACAGCATCAGAGCAAATAAGTTAAAGAAGCTCAACAAGCTGATAAAGCTGGCTCTCCTGGAAATTATCTTAAAAAGCCAAATTCTTCATAAAATGAAGAGCATTATTGACAACTATGAGCAGACTCCTTATCAGATAGAGTGCTCAGTCAAAGATCCAGATCCGGTGCAAGACAGAAGCTACAGAAGATCCTTTCTGCCTACAGTAACACATTCAGCCTCTCATTAAAAGAAAAAATATTTACTACATCGTTTAATTTTCCTGTGGGACTAATAAAGTACTTTTTAATTTACTTTAGGAATATTATTGGAAGCTTTTTACCCCCATCTAGTGGTCAAAAGTAAATTTGTACACAAAATACAGTTCCCATTCCCATACAGTTTCATTAGATGTGCTTTTATTTGTAAAAAATAATTTCTTCAGTTTAGCGTTAACTTGAAAAATAAATGGGAAAATGTTTTAATGTCCTCGTTATTTATGGAAAGGATCCAACAATTATATAGAACGTATCTTATTTACCAAATTGTCATCAATTAGTTATAAATATTTATTTACCTATTTTGGCTCTTTTGGCATTCCATTTGTGATGATGCATTATTACCTTTTTTAATATTTTGTAATCCAATCCACATTCAGAACACTAAATAACACATTTTACACACGTTTCTTTATTAATCAGATTATGAGATGTTTTGCTTTCTCAGTCAGCAACAGAAGGCCCCTGTGCTTACTACCCTTAAGAGTTTTCTTTGTTGCTTATCTTTATTTCTGATGACCTGCTTTTTCTTTCTTTCTGTTCTTCCTTCTGTTTTCTGATTCAGAAAAACTTGGCCCAAACTTTAATAAATCTGGCTCAGTTTTCAGTAAGTACTAAGTGTGGCCTTGCTGCGACCTTAATCGGACGGTGTTCTCTGTCTAACCCAATTCCCTGAGCACGTGTCTGACTTCCAAAGAAGGCAGCCTGTCGATGACAAGATGAATGAAGATGTGCCTGTACAGAGATTGTTCAAAATTCAAGAACAATGTCGAAAGTAACAGAATCAATATGTTGTCGTGTGTTTTTCGTGTGACTATAAAAGTAGTTGGCATGTTACAGATTTCTTCTGTATTTGCTTTTTTGGCCCCGAAATATTTTAAATGAGCAAATACGTTTTAATATTAGAGAAATATAATCTGAGAAAATACAGACAGTTATCTTTACAATGACAATTTAAATATCAAAACATAAGCCAATTTTATCCGGCCCCATTTTCAAACCATTGATTTCACTGATTTACATTTCTTTTGTTCATTTTCTTTAGTTTGCTGCTGATTTATAATCAAGAAACAAGTAGCAAAGAACATGTCTCACAACATGAAGTGAAGTAAAAGATCTCAGAAAGCAACAAATCTCCCCCAAATTTTAAGAAATTAACAGGCAGATGAAAAAAAATTAATTGGAGAGGTTTAAAATGTATTTATTAAACCTTGGCTCTTATGAAAAGATGATTGACCTCATGATGAAATGCCAAGAACACAGTGGAGACACAAAAGAACTAAAGGTAAAACCTAAAGAACTACTTACTTCCTTTGCCTTGCCTCAGGTATCAATGCTAGATGTTAAAAGCTATTTCCAAGTACAAAATTGAGAGAAAACCTACAAAGGTGCATTTAACTTGGAGCCAAAAATATCTTAATAATCTCCTAGTTTTTACCCTTTATTGTCCAAGTTACCATTTTTTTGGTAACTCGGATTAAAATAGGATTAAATTTTATTGTCATTAAACTGTCACAAGAGCAAAAACACCACTGTCCAGCAAATAGGGCAAAATAGTGAGGTTAAATTTGGTCTGTTGGGTCTGCAAGGTCCATTTCTGAGTGTAATCGTTTTTGTTTAGGTTTTTAAGGTACTTGTGGTACAAGAGAGGAGGAAAAAAATGCAGCCAAGTATCACAGGCTGGATTCGACCCGGGTCAACCACGTCGAGTACTAAGGCCCCCATACATAGGTCGTCGGTGCTGTTGCCTACTGTTTTTCATACATTAATGTAATGTATTAATGTAATGTAAATTAAGTATAAATAAAAATAAGTTAAGTTTAAAACTAAATAAGTTAAGTTCAAAAGTTAGAAAGCTGATTTTAAAAAGTTGGTTCTTACTGAAAGCACTTGATAGTTGTTTGTAGCAAAAGATTGCCAAAACAGTTATTGTTTTTACAGTGTATCACTTTTTGCAACCTTCCTTCATTCGACAGGTCGCACAGTTAACATCTATGGGTGCATTTACACTCAAAAAAAGGTCAATTGCAGTAAATTCATTGTGTAACAAAAGGACACTTGTTTGGGGCCAACATGGTTTGAACAGTTTTTCTTTTCTTTGGATAATTAAAATTGGCATTTAAAGCTGCTGTCATGTATTTACTCAGCCTATTTTTCTCTGATATTACAACTTGTTCAAAAATATATATATATATACTTCACAAAAATAGCAAAAGCAGAGTGCAACTGTTATGGCCTATTACTTTTTACACTGGCGTATTTATAATTTTTAATGAAATCGGTAGATCAGCAATCCCTCTGTGTTTAAGAAATAAAATTAGTTCCGGAAAAAAATAATAATAATAATCCTACATCGGTTAGCATGCACCAACTGATTCTTAAAGGCTTGATTATAATACTGTTTTATGTTTTGAAATTTGGAGAAATTTGTGGAAAGAATTTCAGAAAACTTTTCTACCTAACTATAAAGACCAATAACCTGATCAAACATGTTTGACAAGCCCAAAAAATATGTATATATGAAAAGGAACCAATGTTTCCCAATGTTCTCTGATTCTCTCTGTTCAGGTCCACATTTTGTTGCAGTCAACAACAAGAATGAAATCATAGTGACAGACTTTCACAATCACTCTGTGAAGGTAAAGGAGATGCAATCCCTGCTGGTCTTGGTATTCAGTGGGTGTATCTGGTGATGGTATTTATTATCTGTTGTGGTAGGTATACAGCGCTGATGGGGAGTTCCTGTTCAAGTTTGGCTCTCACGGTGAAGGTAATGGCCAGTTCAACGCGCCCACTGGTGTTGCTGTAGATACCAACGGAAACATCATTGTAGCCGACTGGGGTAACAGCAGAATACAGGTAACATAATCACGTTTTTTTTTTAATTGTACATGATTATGTGCTATAAAAATAGCAACTCTTTGACAAAAAAAAAAAAAACGTTAAAAAAAGGTATTCATAACATGGGATCTTTTTTTGCAATTTGTCACATAAAATAGTTATTTTCCCCAGAATTAGTATTCTTTGACTTTCAGATTTTCAAAGAAATATCAAAAATAGCTTGTGCAAAAACTATTTAAACCAGTCTGGCTCCATCTGTATCTTCTAAACCTAACTTCTGGTTGAGGAGCTTCTGGCAAAAACTGCTGCCATCAAGCATTATACCCGCGTTCTTAGCTACAAAAAAGGGTATTTTAAAAGGAATTTGCCTGTGCTGAAGCTATACCACAGTCAGAAGAAAGTCTGTTCCTTGACTAAACTCATGATTTTAGCTTTGCATAGCCATATGCCTGTTGCATAGCCTAAGTAGGCTTTAGCTTAATAGCTTTAGATGCGACTGTGGCTATTAAAACTGAACCAGAAAAAGTGTCTGAGCCAAGTAATGATTTAATAAGGGAGGCAACTATATTCTGTTCATTCTTTTTTTCTCTTAAAATAGTCTGATTTTTTTAAAATATGTCCAAACTTTTATTTGCAACAACAAAAACAGAACAAAATCCATTAAATAAGCAAATGTTATTTTATAGCTTTTTAATAGTTATTGAATCATTGGTAGTATTGGACATTATATAATCAGAAACCTTTTTTTGTGTGTTTCAGGTCTTTGATAGCACCGGGTCGTTCCTGTCCTACATTAATACCTCAGCAGACCCTCTCTACGGCCCCCAGGGCCTTGCTCTCACCTCAGACGGACATGTGGCAGTTGCCGACTCCGGTAATCACTGTTTTAAAGTTTACAGATATCTGCAGTAGACAAAGGAAAAGGCATCAAAAATCCTGCTTGGGTAAATAAATATTTCATAACACTTCTAGCTGCAACGTTCCTGCTCTTTCTGGCCAGAACACAGTATTCCTTCTTCGTAGACTGCATTGCTTAGGGCAAAGGAAATGCAAACCATATAATAATAAAAAAAAAAATGCATTCCTAGTTTTAGAAAAATAGAAAAAAGTTTGATTCTTATCAGTATGTCCAAATTGTATGCAGCCTGTCAGACTTTACACTTGTTATAAACCTACATTTTGGGTTAGATTTCATATTCTCCCAGTAAGAATAATAACACTCACTATCTCTGACCATATTATACATCATGCTGTCAGACTGACATACTGTAACAAAGGTCAATCAGTTCATTCAAAGAAAAAATGTACGTTTTGACTTCTGTTATAGAAACTCTCATGAGCTCTTCAGTTATTGTAATTTAAGTCCCAGAGTTTTTAGTACCAGTGGCTAAAGCAGAGAAATCAAGACAAAAGGTGATTCAAAACGACTCCAAATGGCCTTAAAAAGTTTATCCAAACACTGTTTTATCAAACTTTACACCATGTTTTGGTTTTTACCAGGCAGCTAGTTTGACAGAAGGTGATTTAAAAGGAAAGTTGATATAGCAGGCGGTACAGGGCATGTGTCTGGTTAGTCATTTGTGGGTCGTACCACGGCTGTCACATGGCCAACTAGATTTAAATGATCATTATTTAATATATTAAAGTTTATTAAGTGGTTTATCAATTTACCAAATGATAAACTAGCTAAAGGAATTATACGTAAATGATATCCCTCAAAAAGTATTCAGATACTTTAGGCTTTCTTTCGCATAAATTATGTTGCATATTTTCTATTTTGGTCTTTACAAGACCAGAATTTACCAACAATTTTATGTTTGTTTTATTAAATATTTCTTTTAGATAACAAATCGTAGGATATTATCTGTTGCTCAATATTTAAGTAGCCGTTTTTTACCAAATGCAGTTTTTTTTATAACTTAACATCTTTAGCTATACATTTATTTTTGAAACCTGAACTTGTGCAGAGCTTATCGGGTATGCTGCGTTTCTCCTAATAAAATTGAAATTCTCCAAATTAAAATAAAGTACCTAATTATGTTGCGCCGCCCTTGCTGAAATTGTTTGGACAGAGTCCAACCACGAGTGCACAGCCACTAATCTCTGTGTATGAATAGAACATAATTGGTGACCAAATCTGAAAGTAAAGTTCCCTTTTACCTTTATCCACAAAAGCACAAAAATGGCTAGAAACAATAAAAACAGACTATATATATACATATATATATATATATATATATATATATANATATATATATATATATATATATATATATATATATATATATATATTTCCAAGGTGAAAAAACTAGTTTGCATGGCTGAGATTAAGTGTGTTGGGATTTGCAAAAAGAGGTTATGAAAGTTGTCCTGCACTTTGCATCCAGCTATCATTCCACCATCAAATGTTAGTATTTTTGCTACTAATACAAGTAGCTGATATTCCCAACCTTGTGTACCCCTGTGGGCATCTTTTCTCAAGAGAAAAAAGTATTGATGACTGCTCAAAAGTGGAACAAAATTTAGGACAAAATACTGAACAAAAATTATAGTCAGACTGACTCCATTTGTTTTACTTGGTTTTCAAAATTCATGACACCCTTGCTTGCTATGATGAGCTCATATGTTGGAAAACAGCTGATACCAGACTGTTCTTTACATCCAGTCTGTTCCTCTGCTTGGTTTTGATGCGTGTCAAAGCTGAAGGTGAACTCAAACAAGTTTGTTTTCTTTTTTCCTTTTTAGTTTAGTTGTTAGGAATCACCAAGCTAATATAATAATCAATTGTATCATTTGCTATCATTTTCCCTGTTTAGGCTATCATTTGCTAAAATCCTCCCAGTTGATGGTAGACTGTTAGCTCAACTCAAAGATACTTTTTTTTATCAATAGGTTTGTGTTCACCTATGTAATACTACTTTATGCATTCCCAAAGTTTTTCGTTTTACATATCCTGTTCTACATTCATCAAAATTATATCCAAAGGCAAAATATACAGAATAAGTTTAAGAAAGGTGTACCTATCTGTTGAGTATCTGACACAGAATGGTTCACATTCTCTTTTTAGTCAGTTTTTTCACACAGGAAGATATCTGGTGGAGAGCAACTTCCAAGTTCCATCTCCTGTGTAAAAGATTTTGATCCTGCTTGATATTTACCTCCAAAATGCTGGTATAACACAGTGTTTGTATAAAGTACTATGATGTTTTAGCTTCGGCCTGTGGGACAAACTAATCTGGGTTTATGCTTAATCATGAATCAAAAATAGTTCTCTGTTGCAGGTAGGATATTTAGTGCTCATAACTTTGTAAAGTAACATCCTTTGAAATCAAGACAAAAACCAATTTTGTTACTGTGTGCCAAAAAAACAAAACCTGCTGTTAATGCCATCCATTTTTTTTTTTTTTTTTGTATGTAGGCAAAACAGAACATATAGGAATGCGTAGTTATTGGTCCATTCGTCATTCTGCACTTTATCTGACAAGACAGATCATTTGGCCTTTATGCAAGGTGGTTTGATTAAAGAAGCACAACATCTCAACCAAGTCCACTTCTACAGGTCATTTTTTTCTGTTTCTGGTCTTAATGTCATAATAACCAAAACAGATTTCCAAAATTAGACCCCATGGCTTTTTGCACTTTTGTCTGTTAATATCAAGAAATGACTGTAATTGTACATATGCATAAAGTAGGTGTACATATGGATTTATTGTCCACAGTATATTGCTATATATCCTACTTATTCCAGCATTTAGATGAAAACTGAGATCATGCCAAGCAGTAGCCAGCTGAATGACTGAAACTTAAGTGAAATAAAGTTGTAAACATATTTGCTGTATTTTATTTTTCCAGATGATTTTATTTATTTTGGATTTTCTTTTCTATATTATTTGTTGTACAAACTATTTTTCTAACTGTTGCGTTGGACCTTTACTCTTTGATTTGTAGCATCTCATATCTGATCTCTATTACTTCCTGGAAGAGCTTATGTTTATTATTGTCTCCTTCAGCCTGAACATTTTGTTTGACTTGCTTTTGAACATTGCACAGACTACAAATATAAAAGTTTTATCATTTTACAAGAATAACATGTAACTCTATGTATATTTCATATAGCATAATCAAAGAGTGTATTGTATATTACAGTCACTTTATATTACTGATGACCAGCACTTTCATTGTGGATCTTTTAGAGTATTTGTTTTCATGTGTGGCTCCTAAATGAACCCATTTTTTATATCTGTATTTAAAAACACTGTTAAACTGTCTTTCTTTTGGCGTTTGTAGGAAAGCTTTGTGTACTGACAAAATGATTTTTTTTTCTCCCCAAATGGAACTCCTCCATTAGTATATTTCTTTCGGTGTCTTTGCCTTTAATTGTCATTTACTTGTTTGTGTGAAATAACTAAAGCACATTTAAATAAATAAATAAAAAATGCTACATCTACCAAATATGTGTAGGCCTGTATACTACAGGAGGTCAAACTTACAAAAATGAAATGACAAGACTTGTAATCCTGGAAAATGATTGTGATAATAAACGAAAAAAGCTTCAGCTGCTATCTAATCTGGGTTTTATTTAAACATATGTTATTTTATGTGCATTTTGTTTGCTTTCGGCATATTGAATTTTGAGATTTTTTTTTTAATGAATAGTGAAAAATAAATAATAGCCAGCGATTAGCGATTGTGCATATTTAAATTAACAATCTAGCTCAGCTTAAATCTGCTTGAAGTAAATTCAATGCCTGTTTAATCCAGTTGGAGAAAACTGCAGGCATTTAAGTGCTGAAGATTGTCTAGTGTGCTCTTATTCTGACAGTCCTGTTTGAAAGAAACTGGTTCACATTGATGCATCTTTATCAGGTTTGTTCATTTGTTCTGCAATAAGCTAACAATCTAAACAGAGAAGCAGCAAAAAGTCACCTGTGAGTCATTAGCCTTGCAAGAGATGAAACAGTTTTCTCACCTCCTCCTTAAATGTTCTGGGTGACAAAAGTGAATCAGCATCATCAGATTGGTCTGTTATTTAAAAGGGGGGGTGGGGGGGCAGGGCTTGACTAGAAATACAAGGATGATGAAAAAAAAATTTAAGTGAAATTGTTTGTCACACAGCTATAAATAAATGTTGTAAAAAGCACACATGCGTGTAGGCAGCCTGATGATTATGTTAGCTTCAATTAAAAATGAAACTGTGAAAACATGTTAAAAAGATGTAATCCTACACAACCAGAAAAGAAAATGGGCTCGAGAAGTTGATTTACCCAAACTGGATTTATTTTAGCAAAGCATACAAGTTTAGAAGAAATTGAAAAGGGTAAATAAATGGCAATTTAAAACAAAGCTTTTTCCTGTTCATTTTATTGAAATGAAAAAGAATGAATCTTCATACAGAGGGCAACAGCCTGAAAGTAAGTCACTTTGTGACACATCTGAGAAGAATACTTAGTTTAAAATGTAACTAAAATGAACAAGACTGGGTAAATAAATCCATTAAGGTAAACAGCCACGGACAAAACACAGAATAATAAAAAGGTCTTAAAAAAAAATAAGTCCAAATCATAAAGAACAGTTTCTTCAAGACTAAGTTAATAATATCCTTTAAAAAAAAAAAGTCAACATATTTCTGTTTCAACAGCCATTTAAGAACACATATTAACAAAGAAGCAAAAAAAAGAAAAATATTCTTAACATAAAAAAATCAGCCCTAAATAAAGTCAAAATTTCAGTAAATGACAATAAGATACATTTATCATTCATAAAGAACAGTAATCAATAAAAAATAAAATAAAAAAGCAAAAAGATGCAATACCAACATTCAACACTTCCATCATATCAAGCTCTTGCTCTTAAAAAATGTTTTTAATGGAATGCAAAAAGAAACATATTTAGCCACCAAGTAGGACAACAGCTAAATATTTAGTCCTGTTGGTTAAGAACTAACCATTTTGAATTTTTAGGTAAACCTCAATGCAAAACGCTTTCAATATTGCAAAGTTCTGCTGCACAGATTGGGCTCAAATTTACAAAGCAGGACTGGCACAGATGGAAGGAATAATGAAGGCCATTTTAAAATGTATTTAACAAAGCCATTTCAATAAAATCTTATCACCCATCAGTCCTAGAAATAGAAACTTGAAGTCACAGCCAAGCCACTCTCCAAACCCCCAATGTGGTTATGAGGGGTGGGTTTGTACAGCTTGTGTACAATTTATCTTTTTAGGGGGATGAGAGAGTCCAGGATGTGATTATTTCCCTGTTTTAGCTGAACTGCATCACTAAAATGCAGGACCTGCAAGTGATCTCCCAGTTGCACAAAATAAGCAGCTCCCAGAAGCAACATTTTCACCCGTCTGTAGGAAAATAGGATGCTTTCTGACAGGTTCACCTGAAGGTGCAGGTTGGACCCTGGACAGCTGCTCTGTTAATAATAGTGGCATATCTGCAGCCTGCTGCCTACATCGTTCTTCCCCGGGCTGAAGAAAGGATAGACAGGCTCCCGGAACCAGGTGTCGAACATGTAAAGTCTCTTCATTGTAACGGCATCGTAAAAACTGAGGCGCCCGTTGTCATAGTCCAGATAAACACCGACGCGAGGCGAGTTCCAGTAGTCAGATAGTGGGATTCGGCCATCTTCCACTATGGCGTACAGACGGTCCTGCAGACAAAGGGTCCAGTATCCTGCAGAAGGAGTAAGGTTAACGAAGCCCTTTCTGTTGCTGCACTCGGTCGTAACCCCAAGGTACCACACTCCTTTGTCCCTGACGTCCACTTCCCAGTAGTGCTGGCCACTTGCATACTGGGCTGTGGCGAGTACACCGCAGAAGCGGTTAAAGCGGCCAGGAAGATCCGGCTCATGGCTGCGAATGCGGCCCTCCTCCACTTTGGTGTCAAAGTCTGAGATGAGCAGGTTTGCATGAGCGGTGTCAGGGTCTAGTGTCAGGTTCTGAGGCACTATGCAGACAAAAAAAAAACAAAAAACAAATAAAAATTTACATAGAGACAGAAGAATGATGAATTGTAGGACTGAGAAGTTTTGTTCTTTTTTGTAAACAATATGATGGGATGCAAAAGGTTATCCGCCAAGTGATCAAACGAAAACAGTTTTTGATGAAAGATCCACATGCAGGGCATGTAATGAAAATATTAAAAGTATAAAATCAATTAGGGTAGGGCTGGACAATACAGCCACAACATATTT